TGTGTGTGTGTGTGTGTTTTATTGAAATGTTTTAGTTTTCATATAGAAAAATTTATGATGCACGTGTTCTTGACTTTGGAGTAAACATTTATTTTGAATCTTGTGATTAAAGTATATTTCATATAAAATGCCTAGAAGTTTCAAACATTATTTTTAATATCACAAACAGGAAATAACTCGCATAATACAATGAAACTAATAACTATAGGTCTACAACTAAATTACACAAGATGTATATAATGTTTATAAACTGCTTAATATGTCATTATAAAATGCATAAAGTATGATGTATCGTGTGTAATAAAAGCAAATTACCCCTTAAAAACCGTGAGGTGGCGCTACTCTGTTAAAAAAAAGTAAGCTCCGCCCCTCACTTCCGGTTCTGTGGCTGCGGTTCTGAAACTGCTGGTGCTGCGGGTCTGCAGCTGGATACTATTGGATATTTCAGTCCTTTAGGAGCTGGTATGTTCAAAATTTGTAAATTATCACTTTGCTTCTTTGATCCATTTTTATACTGATTGACAATCATGTTGATAACTTGCTCTTGTATTGTTTGCATTTTCACAAAATTACCCTCTTCCTCATCCTCCTGCTTCTTCTTCACTGAAAAAGGTTGTGCTGCTTATTCAAATCTTAAATATGTGGTGTTTTATACGTTTTTTGATGATGAACCGAAAGTATTGAACAGATTAAAAATATGAAATAGAAAATAGAAATGTGAATTAAAATGATTTTAAATAGCAATGTTTATTCATTGTAAACATCTTTACTGTTTTTTGTTTTTAATAATTTTATTGTACAATTTGTACATTACAATGCAAGACAGGGCTCATATCCCACTTTCTAACATTTCTTATTTCAGTTTTCTTCTACTGCCATCGTGTGCTGAAGAAGTGCATTTACAAGTCTTTTCATGAATTGCAATAAAAATTCTTGAATTGCAACAAAAGCCTGTCTAGATGGTACTTTTAAACTGTAAAATAATAAAAACAAAATGTAATAAATATAATTTAAAACGTCCTATTTCAATTGACACACAAACATTATTATTATTATTATTATCATCATTCCACACTGTTTCATTCAGTGAGTAATTAAACAAAATCTGATTTTATAGCTCCCTGGGTGTTTGTGATTTCAACTAACACAACTAGAAAATAATTTGATTTTATGTGCTTTTTCCCCCTCAACTATATCTGGTCATATTCAGTTTACTCTGTAGATCTGATTTTGTACATCAATCATAGAACATACAGTATGCAGCAACATGTTTCACACAATTTGTCTTTTTATATTCAGGTACATTTTCATGCATTTCATGTGAAAACAGTTGTTAGGAAGCAAAAGCTGTATCAGTGTTTGTCCACTAGAGGACAGAAATGATACAACATTAAGATCAGCGGCATATCAATATCTTGTGAATATTTATTCATCAAGCAGATGTTTTTTTGTCAAAATTAATAAAAACAATACATTCATACTTCAGCATGAATTCAAAGGCACTATAAATTCAGATTGCATTTACAATTTTGACATTCAGATCTGATTAAGACTAGAGGATGAGAAGTGTGTGTGTGTGTGTGTGTGTGTGTGTGTGTCAGAGTGATTGACACTGGTGGGCGGGTCTTATGTTATTAAAGTGAACTCGTCCCCTCCTCCTCATTCACTACATCCACATCCTCTCCATTCAACAGCCGTATCTCTACAGTTACTGATTCATTCACTTCTGTGGAATTTGAATAAAAATAAAGAGTATTATAGTAAGAGAAAATAAAAAGAGAAGATTTGGAGGTCAAACTACCTTTACAAATAAACGTCTCCCTCTCTTCTTCTTCTTTTTTGTTTTCATTTCCCCTCACGCTCCAGTTCATTGTCTCTACTCTTTTCTTGATTTCTCTGCTTTATATTCTTCCACTTATTTGTCAGTGAGATTTGTGCTACTCATGTTCTCACATTCACACATACAAGTTTTAAATTAGTATATTAAGCAGTTTGAGCTGAATTAACTGCAGAAAAAGAACAACAGAATGCATGAGGAAGAACAGTGATTGTTAATACATTCACAGACTTGAGATACTCACCTTTGACATAAACAAAGACTTTTCTTCCTCTGCTGAGGATCAGTAGTTTAAAGAGTCCAGCGTGATCAGGTGTTGATGTTTTTGATGGTCAGTGATCCAGTCGCTTTGTCCAGCTCCAGTCTGCCTTTGTGAATCTCCCATCAGGAACATTGTCATATATAGAGATCTTTCTGGTCTTTCCTTTGATTTCAGCTGAGAGTGTCTTCAGATCCAAACAGCCACAGTATCTCATTACCAGTCTGTATTTCAGTATTAGTCTTTTTAGGATGACAGAATCATTCTCCTTCGCTGACAGTGACTTCACTGCATGTCACAGAAAGAGGAGAAAGAAGAAAAACGAGGAGCAATGATAAGTCAGTAAAGCTTCATTAAATATGTACATGAGAGCAAACATTGGTAAGAATGAACTACACATGCACCTTAAATATGTCATATTAATTAATGTAATATAGTTATAAATAATGTATATCACAGTATTTTTTTCTGTTTATGACTACACCTACATATGTGTCAGGGTTGCTACTGTGAGGAATGAAGGACCGCGTAGACGTAGGAGAATCACACTAAACAGTCTTTAATAATCCACAGAAAGGGGAAATACAGGCAGGACACACACGTAGCACTTCCATGAAGACGTATAACACTGGACCGGGAAACATGGGGCAGACAACACTTTAAATACATGGCTAAACGAGGGGTAATTGACGAGCACAGGCGAATCAAATGAAGCAATAAGACAAGGGAGAAAACTAGGTCATGGAGCACATGGGGAGAAAAACACACAGACTGGTCCATAATCCTGACATAGTCCATAGTGGCTTTTTTTACTGATAGGAGCACACACACACACACATTTACTTTCAAAAATGGTTATCTTTCATTTATATTAGTTGTAATAGTACTTTAAGAAGTACATTCCACTGTTCAATAATAAATATATTTCTGTTATCATTTCTTTAAGTTATACAGGACTGTTATTTTTGGGTTGTTGTGAAGACGTTTGAGTTTCAGTGTGTATATCATACTATGAGAGTTTAATCAAATGAAATAGTTCATATAGCAGTGTTGGATACAATTAACATCAGATATATTACAAAAATGTATGTCAAATGACAACAGTTGTGTTACTTTCGAATTTTAACAAAACCATAGAATAGAGAAGGAACATGGCACTGGCCAGAACTGAACCTGTATCTCTGGTGTTTTGACATGCTGGAAACATGTGACTGCTAGACCACACTTTGCATAAATGTTTGTTTATATGATAATCTAGTTCATATATAGTATTTTATTAAAAAAATAAAAATAAATTCTAAAGCATAAAGTTTATAAAATCTAACAAGAGAAAGCACAATGAAGACTTAAATGATCTTCAGAACAAACCCTATACGGTCTATGAGCTGAAGAAACCACAGAAACAGTCTGAATGAATGAATGAAGAACTGTGATCATTATTACACAGAAAGTCTGGAGATACTCACCTCTGATATAAACAATAAATGTCCTCTTGTATTTATTGTTGATCAGTAACTTATAGGGTCCAGTGTGTTCAATTCTGGTGTTTGTGATGGTCAGAGATCCAGTCTTCTTGTCCAGCTTCAGTCTGTCTCTGAATATCCCATGAAGAACATCATCATATGTTGTGATCTCACTGGTCTCTCCTTTGATTTGCGCTATGAGAGAGTCTTCATTTCCAGACTGCCACTCTATCAGATCACCTGTCTGTATTTTAGTAACACCAGTGTTTAGTTTGACATCGTCTCCCTCCATCCCTGACACTGTCTCCGCTTCATGTCACGCAGCAGCACATAGAAACAGAAATGAGGAGATTACTAGTGAATGAACAGATGAACATTAGAAACACTGAGAAGATATTGTGTGGTTCTTCACATGTGCTTCTAATAAGCAGTTTGTCATCTCTTTTTTAAAGAGCTGTAACAATTTACAATAATGTTAACATAGAAAAACACAAATGTATGCAAGGTGAAAATCTGTCTAAAAACCATTACACATATCATACCACTAAATAAATCAGTCCTTATTTTAAAATCTTCATGCAGCTCTGTTTCAAGCAATGACATATTGTCATGACCATCACAAAGCTCAAAAAATGTGTAAGACACCAGAAATGCACCATAAACGTTTTCCACATGACTTGTGCGCTATACGTCTTCTGAACTTATACAACAGCTTTATGTGCAATTTAAGTGGTTATTTGCTTAAAATATTCCACTTTGCTGCAGCTTTTAAATCTCATTCTTTCACACAATAAAGCAATTTTAGAATTTTTTTTAAAATACTTACGTATTTCAGCGATCTTGTGGCAACAAGAAATCACACCAGCAGCTGCTGCAGCCACCAGAACAACAACAATCCCTACAACAACACCTGGAGACAGACCTGAACCTGTAACGATAAAGAGAGACAGTCATTAGTGTGAATGTGTGTCT